GGAGGTGAGGGAGGGATGGAGAAAGAGGAAGGTTCCAGAAATCCTATAATTGGTGGGTGTTACAGCCTTCTCAGTTTGTACCAGTTAGGCAGCTGATTGTTCTGGAGTCTTTAGGTGGTGTTGGGGGAGGTGCGAGCAAAGGGTACAGGCTAACCAAAAAGGGGTTTTAGCCATTAAAGGGAAGAGCTGTTATAGCCTTTGAAAAAAGGAGGTATATTCTGCATTTATAGTGTAAAAGAGAGTAGTTTAGTTCCAGACATTTTGCAAGTTCTAAAACTATCTCCACCTATGCTCTTGACTTATGAATTGTGTGTTTTTTCTTTTATGCCTGGCCCGATTTCTCTGCAGCTGATAACTTAAGACAGGTTTTTGAAAGTTAAGAAGAGGCTTATTTAACTTTGCAGTTAAGAAAGATTCATCCGGGATCAGGGGTAGGTCAGTACAATGAGAGGAGTCCCTTTAAGAGGGAGTCCTGAAAACTATAGGTTATAAAGTGATTTTGAAGAGGCCTGATGAACTTCAGATTCGGGGGGTGGGGTGTGGGCAGGGAGAGCCTCATCCCTGGTTACCTGGGAGAGAGAAGGGTGTTAAATGTAACATGTGAGACTCAGCAGGTATTGTCAGCCCAAAGCAGAAGGGCTCCGTACCCTGGAGACCTCAGTTCTGGTGGAGTGTGAAGGAAGAGTTTTATAGAAAGGAATTGGATAAAGATTCAAAGAAGCAACTACAGGCCAGGCGCGGTGGCTCACGCCTATAATCCTAGCACTCTGGGAGGCTGAGGCAGGCGGATTGTTTGAGCTCAGGAGTTTGAGACCAACCTGAGCAAGAGAAGACCCCATCTCTACTAAAAAAAAATAGAAAGAAATTATCTGGACAACTAAAAATATATAGAAAAAAAAAATTAGCCAGGCATGGTGGCGCATGCCTGTAGTCCCAGCTACTCGCGAGGCTGAGGCAGGAGGATCGCTTGAGCCCAGGAGTTGGAGGTTGCTGTGAGCTAGGCTGACGCCACGGCACTCACTCTAGCTAAGGCAACAGAGTGAGACTCTGTCTCAAAAAAAAAAAAAAAAAGAAGACAACTATAGAGATCAAGTAGATGAGTTTAATGTGATTATAGACTGGACAAAAATTAGGACTCTGGTGTAGGAAAGAGGCCCCAAAAAGCAACAACCCATAAATATTTACTGACAGAATAATTTTATGATATGGCTATGTTAACTATAAACTTGTTTATATATCAAAATCATCCCCATACATAAATTTGCTTCCTTCTACAACAGGTGGTTAACTTAACAACTGAGTTCTCTGGGGGGCTGTTTGGATAGAAAATATAAGTAAGTACAAGGAGGGCTTGGGCCCCTAAGGGATTGCTAAGCTTTCAAAGTGAGTATGTTATAGAAGGCTGGTCATTTTACTGGACTGATTTAAAGTAACTATTTTTTAATGCTTTTAATGCTTTGTGTGTCTGCCTTTAAGGAAAAGGAAAATAATTGGGAATCTTAATCTTTTTAAAAGGCTAGCAAGTAATTAACCAGAACAAGATCAGCACGCGTCTCCTCTACAGCCTTTTCATGGATCCTGTCCGACCACCATTTAGGGGCCCTCCTCCTGTCCACCCATCTCAATTTGTACGGATGCCAGGCTGTTGGCCACAAGCTCCTAAACCTTTGGCCTCAGGTCTGGGCAGGGCAGGACCAGCAGGCAGAGGCCATGCATTTGGAAAGCCAGAGGAACCAGGCACACAGAGGGGGCCAGCACAAAGGGTAAGCCCACATCTGGATACATAGTGGTAGCATATAGCTTACCTGTGCTGTCAGAGGAAGTAATGGATTTCAGAGTGCTTAGAAAACTGTGAAGCCCTATACTGAAGCAAGGTTTTTGGTGTTCTTTTTTTTTTTTAAAAAAAGTAGTTGTATCTTCTGGGCATATATTTCAAATCTTAAAAGTTGCAAGTCTAGACAAAGTGTCTTATAATGAACACTAGGTGGACTTGGGTAGGTGCCTTACGTCCTCTACCTTCAATCCATTTGTCTGTCCATCCATCCATTCATAACTGATATGTTTAAAGATAAAACCTCTTGCTCTTTTCTGAATGTTTAGATTTTCGCCCTGGGCTTGGCTTTATGATATTAGCAGCAGCTCCTGCCTCTGAGGTAGCAATTGCTAGAGTTCCTTTTGGAAGGCTCTTTGCCCAAATCTTAAATAAAAAGAGGCTCTTCAGCTATTGCTACTGCTGTGTGAACACTTAACATGTGTGTGCATTCTTAATCTCCTAATTATATGGTCATTTTAAGAAAAATGTAATTAATGTATATCAGAGTTAGCAAATACAGGAAAAACTTAATAGTGCCGTTATCATTTTAAGTAGAGTTGACAGTGTCGAATGTAATGTTTTTGTAAGAAGAAAAATTTATGACAGTAATCTGAGTATGTTTGCTCAGATGAATTGCTTGAATCTATATGTAGCTTTTATACATGTCAGCCCTAATTAGCATAACAGTAGTAAACTTTCAAGACTGCTCCAGGAAAATAGTAGGTTTTGTTGGATATTGTTTGAAAAAGAAACTCTAGTACCTCTTAAATAATCTAGCTAGTTAGTTCTGTTCTGTTTCATTTTGTCATATTGTATATCAAATCATGGACTTTTAACTGTAAACTTTTATACTTAAAGACCTAATAGGACATGGTTACAAGTATTAAAAATTTTTTTATAAAATATTTTTATCCTTTATTTTTATAACACTTATAGAGTTTGAAGAAGATAATTTTATAAGACTTTAAGAAAACCATTGTTTCTGGAATTGTAAACTACATCTTAGAATAACTTTATTCTTTGACTTTCCATAGGAGTCTGTGGGTTTGGTCTCCATGTTCCGAGGCCTGGGCCTTGAAACAGTTTCCTGGACCTCTCGGAAACATGAAATGCCCTCTTTAGGTATGTGGAAAACTAACTTGGGAAATTTAATGTTATACATGATTGCTTCGTTTTTAAATCCATATGATTTATCTTCAGAAAAATAAAACAAACTGTACTTTAAAACACATTTAACTCACAGTTATTGCTGGGATTCGGTTCTTTCCTTCAGGTAGAGGCATTTTAGGTCGAGGCTTTTCTGCTAATATGGTGCACAAGGACAAAGAAGAACCCCGTTCCACTTTCCCGGATCCTTTAGTGTTGGCAGCTGGGGATAGCAAGATGGCAGAGGCCTCTGTTGGTCGGAATAGGTGGGTAAAGTTACCTTCTCATGTAACCATCACATTCAGATGAAGTATCTCCGTTAAGTTCAAAGAGAAACTCTAAAAGTGTTGTATTATCTCACAAATAAGCAATGCCTGATTTTATATTCAAGAATGGACATTTTCCAAGAGTGGTCAGCAGCTGCTGACCCAGTTAGTCATTGGAAAAGGGTAAAAAGTGGTTCTGCGTTGGGCAGTGCACAGCATCATTTGCCCTCTTAACAAGGTACCCTGGTCTTTGCCGTTCTTTAATCACTTTCCTCTCAGTTCTGTCGAAGATGGTTCTGAGAGTCCAAGTCAATAGCAGTTGGTGAATGAATCATGTTGGTGTATTGTGTTTTGAGAGATCCCAAGGCTGCGCTTGGGCCCCCTTTGCTGACTCCAGGAAGAGAGTATAGACTTGGGGGAGAAATCTAGATGTGGCATAGATAGGAGCATGATAAAGCCCATTTGCTTCTCATTCCACATTTCAGAGTGCTTGGAAGGGGGAGTTCAGATGCTGCTTTATTACCCCTGGGAAGGGCAGCTGCCGGTATCGGCAGAGGAGTGGACAAGCCTCCCAGTGCCTTCAGCCTAACTTCCCGGGACCCCTCACGGCTGTCATCACCTCCGGCTCTGCCCCAGCCCTCCCTGCACTCTCCAGATCGCCCTCTGGTCCTGACGGTGGAACACAAGGAAAAGTAAGTCAGGAACACTGCCTTCTCTGCTTGGTAATGATCAGAGGAGGAGAAAGAGGCACCTGATGAGTCTCTGTATTTTGGCTGATGTGCAGTACTGTAAAAACTGTGTCTGTTGTGTCTGAAGTCCTGCCTGGGTGATAGGTACTGCAGAGGGTTTTGTTTTCTTCTGTGCCAGTGGGAGATTGACAAAAAGGTGGGACAATTCCTGATGAAGTTGAGTGAGCTTAACAGTGAAAATATAGTCTGTATTAGAGAGTAGACTCGTGGCCTTTTGTTTCCTTCCCAATTGAAACAGACAGTTCTTTACCATGTTGTTTTTTTGTTTTGTTTTCTTTTTAGAGATGGGGTCTTGGGGTCTCGCTCTGTCGCCCAGGCTGGAGTGCAGTGGTGTGATCATAGCTCACTGCAGCCTTGAACTCCTGGGCTCAAGCGATCCTCCTGCCTCAGCCTCCTGAGTAGCTGGGACTAGAGGTGTGTGTGAGCCACCATGCCTGGCTTTCTTTGTCACATTGAAGATAAGGCAATAATTTAGGGAAAATATTTTGGCACTTCATCTGTCTCTATATAACTAGAACAACTTTTATGTTCTTAGTTAACTGGCCTGGTTCATTCTAGTAATATTAACTAGCACAAACAGGGCAACCTTCCTTATCTAATTAGACATTGCCAAGGATTTATCTTCTAGCCTTCAAAGCTTGCTTTTGTACGTGTTGACGCTTGGTTTGCGTATCTGTAGCAAAGTGAAAAATATTACTTCCCTCAATCTTTTTGTTGGTGGTAGTGGTTTGAGTTGGTTGTGTTGTTTTTGTCTTTTGGTAAATGGGAGCTTTTTTATTCTTTTTATTTTCCAGAGAGCTTCTTGTGAAGCAAGGATCAAAAGGAACACCTCAATCTTTGGGACTGAACCTCATCAAAATACAGTGTCATAATGAAGCAGTTTATCAATATCATGTGACTTTCAGGTATTCACAGCTTTTTTCTCTACATTGTTCACTTCTTAGAGGGCACTAATGAAATAGTTCCCCTGGGATAACTAAATGTTGTTCTGTACAATTCTTGGTGAACCTCTCCGTGCCATAATGCATGTACTCAGATCCTTACAGGAAGTTTAAGGTTAATTTTTTTGTGTGTATTTAGCAATATTACCAATTCAGATTTTAACTTAATAGTTACAGGTTTATACACGAGGCTAGAATAGATTTAATATGAAATCAATGAAGCTTACGTTCAGGGCCTTTTACTTGCATAGGCCTCTTCCATGATCTTTTAATTTATTTTATGTGTGTAATTTTGTATTCCTTTTTTTAAGGGAGACCCCTCCCGAAATGGTATAAGATCCATACGCCGTAAGATCCATCCTTCCCTGCATGAATTATCATACCAACATTTGATGTCTTTCCGGTGACAGTCTAGGGTTAAATTTATGAGTGATAAAATCAGGAAAAATAACTTTAATTTTATATCAATAATTTTAGGATTTATTTTACTTTTCTAAAAATTAAGAATTCATATTAGTTTGTGTTATTTTTAAGATCTTGGGGGAGTCATTAGCTGGAGGTTATTCGCCAAAATTGTGAAAGTGAATATTTTGAAATATCTAGAAAAAATGGAAATCTGAATTTTTAATTGACAAATAATAATTGTATATATGGCATAAAGTGTGATGTTTTGATACATGTATACATTGTAGAAAGATTAAATCAAGCTAATTAACATATCCACCTCACCTACTTACCATTTTTTGAGATGAGAACATTTAAAATCTCTTTTAGAAATTGTGAAATATATCTTGTTATTAACTATGGTCACCACAGATTACCATAGATAGCAGTAGATCACTAAAACTTATTCTGCCTAACTGAAACTTTATACCTTTTGACCAGCATCTCTCCCCTTTCCCCATCCCCGCCCAACGCCCAGCATCTGGTAACCACCTTTCTACTCTCTGTTCTATGAATTGGACTTTTTCAGTTTCCACGTACAAGTGAGATCATACGATATTTGTCTTTCTGTGCCTGGCTTATTTCACTTAGCATAATGTCCTTCAGGTTCATCCATATTGTCACAAATGATAGACTTTCCTTCTTTTTAAAGGTGGTATAGTATTCCATTGTGTGTATGTACCACATTTTCCTTATCCATTCATCCACTGATGGACACTTAGGTTGGTTCCGTATCCTGGCTATTGCCAATACTGCTGCAGTGAACATGGGAGAGCAGACATCTCTTCAACATACCGATTTCACTTCCTGTGGTTAAATACCCAGAAGTGGGATTGCTGGATCATATGGTAGTTCTATATTTAGTTTTTGAGGAACCTCTGTACTATTTTCAAAGATGACTGTACTAGGAAGTCTTAATTCGTGAAGAACTGCTACTAATTGGTGATAAAAGGAAGAAGTGGAGTGAAAGAAGAAAGGAACATTTCGGGGGAAAATATCCTGAAAATTTGATGTAAAGGCGAAAGGATGGAGCCATTTGACTGAGGAGAAGGTGGTTGGCTTTGACCATGGGGAAAAAAGTAATTGGATTTACTTTTGAAGGCACTGTTGGTGATCTTATAGTAGTTTTCCTAGAGAAAACTACTAAAAGATTAAAGGAACAAGGGAGAGCGTAGGTCCTGAGAAGTAGCCAGTGACTTGGCCACTCATTTTAAACATTTTTAAGAGGAATGGGAAATGGAATGATAATTGAAGAGGGTGACAGGATTGCGTTAGTGGTTTCTGTGAGGTAAGAAAGCAGAGCTGAGCATGTATGACAGGTGGAAGGAAGAAGCCAGAAAAGAGGGTGAAGTTGAGCCCCAGGAAACAGGCATTTTGTGGACCATATGGGGAGGAGGTGAGCATCAAAGAGAGGAGAACTCTTTCTCTGAAAATGGACTGACAGATGTTGAGGAAACGAAAAGGAGTCTGTCTGCATTGAATGGGCCACGGAGAAGACATGGATTTATAGGTTTCGAGATTGTACCTGTGGGTGGTGTACAGCTGCAGATTGTAGATTCGAAGCCCCAGTGAAGGGGCTGCCAGGTTATTGAGAGAATGCTAAGCAGATGTATTACAGCAGGCCGGGCATCCTGTGGCTTCCTTGCAGTGCATGAAGGGCGTCTAGGAAGACAAACTTAAGTACTGTGCTTGGAGCATAGCTCTCTGTGTGTCTATGAATTTTTTAAGAAGTGTGTTGTTTGCATGTGAGTGTTTAGTTTGGAGGACAGCTGTGTTGGATTAACACTCGATTTTCTTTCTTTTTGCTTCACGTACTTGAACATGCTTGACCTTAGCCTTGGATTTGTTTAAACTTTGCAGTTGTAGAATAGGGTTGGGTGTTACTGTGCTATAATGGGACAATTGTCATATAAAGTAGCTACTGGAGTTTTTCAAAGCTGTAAGATTTGTGACAGTGAATCAATAGAAAGTTGACATTGCCATGAGTGAAAAATAGAGTAAAACCCTGTTTTTTTAAAAAAAAAAAATTTTTTTTTAAGTGTGTATCTCTGAAGACTGTAGATCAGGGATTGGCAAACTATGGCTGGTCCGAAGATCAAACCTGGCCCACCGCCTGTTTGTGTAATAAAGATTTATTGGTGCATAGCCACACTTATTTGTTTGCATATCATCTATGGCTGCTTACATGGCCTGCAAAGCCTAAAATATTTACTATCTGGCCCTTTACACAAAAGTTTTCTTTTCCCCTGTTCTAAAGTCTGGAAGAATATACACTGACACATTAAGGCAGCTGTCCTTTGGTGGTAGAATTACAGGTTGTTTTCGTTTTCTTTACCTACAATTTCTAATGTTCCTGCCCTGACCAGGTATCCTGGAGTCAAAGGTCCCTTTGTAGTCAGATGTATAATTTTTAATATAACCACTAGGTGGAGCAGCAGTTACAAATGACTGCGTCTCTAGCACACGTGTTGCACTAGTGTGGTAAAGATTGCCGTTGGAGTCAAATTGAAGTGAAATCCTCTTTATTATTTTCTAGCCCCAATGTGGAGTGCAAAAGCATGAGGTTTGGCATGTTGAAGGACCATCAAGCTGTCACCGGAAACATCACTGCTTTTGATGGATCCATTCTCTATCTGCCTGTTAAGCTTCAACAAGTGAGACCAAACAGGAAGTGTATTTTGGGATGAAATCTAAGAGTGCTTTGGTGTTTTGAGTGGTGGGAAATCATAGACATCCTGAACATTTGAGTTGTATCTTCCTATTCCTAGAGGGAAGACAGATTTCTGCAGGACATAATAGAAAATTTTACATTTGAATTCTTCAGGAAGCACCTTCTCACATAAGAGGAGTGATTGGGGCCGGGTGTGGTGCTCACACCTGTAATCCCACAACTCTGGGAGGCCAAGGCAGGAGGATCGCTTTATCAAGGAGTTGGAGATTGCCATGTGCAGTGAGCAATGATTGGGTCACTGCACTCCATCCTGGGCTACAGAGTGAGACCCTGTCTCTTAAAAAAAAAAAAAAAGTAATTAGAAGCCCTTGGCTTCTGTGATAAAGAATGGCTTATAAATTTCAAATTCAAATTTTGTTGGGTTTCTCTTACCAAATAGTTTCTGAATCCTGGTTGTCATGCTGTGCTTTTGCCAGTGTGGACAGCAAAGTGAAGGGAAGAGTAGAAAAAAACATTTTAAGATATTTTAGTGTTATCTAGAACACAGTTGGATTAGATTAGGACTTGGTAGTTTGTCATTTCTTTTTACTCGCGTGTATTTATTTGTTAGGTTTTCGAGTTAAAAAGTCAAAGGAAAACTGATGGTGCTGACATCAGCCTTAAGATTCAGTTGACGAAGATCTTGGAGCCCTGCTCTGACTTGTGCATTCCCTTCTACAATGTTGTTTTCCGCCGGTGAGGACACAGCTGAAGTCTTATTTTCCTTTAACTTCCGTCTTGTATTTGCAATAATACTCTTCAAGAAGCTTGGGTGGTGTTATACTGCAATGTGCATGTAAATGGGTTTGGAAACATTTACTAAATGAGTGCATGATACTGAGGCTAACTTGCTCAGAAATCATCTCACCAGTGACAGGCCAGATTTGAATACAAAATGAGGTTTGGAGGTAGCTGGATAGGGGAATGGGTTCCTTTGGATTTGTTCAGGTTAAAAGCACGTGTTTACAGTGCATATTTAATGGTGATGGTAGCGAGGGGGCTACTTCAAGAGATAGTGTGCAGAAACATTTGCTGGAAGAATTTTTTCCAGTCCCTTGAGTTTTTGCATTAGAGACAGCTCATAATTGTTTAACTTCTTTCGAGATACCCTAATTTCATACAGCTGTTATTCCCAAAATACCTCTTATTTAATGAAACACAACCTAACTTCTACCTGGTAAGCTAAACTGCCAGGAACAAAGATTAACCCCCTTTACCAGACTGTTGATTCACACACTTAGAAATGGGCTCTTGTTAATGGTAAAAAGTAATGTAAATTGAGCCTGGGAAATGAACTCAGTGTTTGGTTAGCTAGTAAGTGGGAAAGGCTACAGTCAGTTGCACATACTCCAACATAAATGTTTTGGTAGTTTTTATTTTTCTTTTAGCAAGATTATCCTCAACATAAAAGCTATATTTGTGCAAAGAACACAAACATTTCTGACCCTTTAGGCTTCGAAAGGCAAATGTAGCTGAGAATAATGGAGCTTAATTTTTTTATTCTACTAGAAAACCCACTCTTGGTTTTTTATTTCAGGGTAATGAAACTTTTAGATATGAAGCTTGTGGGGAGAAACTTTTATGACCCTACAAGTGCTATGGTACTACAGCAACACAGGTTGGTGGTTTTTTCCCCCTTTCCTCACTTTTGAATGTTCTGGAAAGAAATTTTTCATTGCAACCATTGTATTTAGGACCATAATCTCAGCACTATTTTATGATAGTGAATACAATTTCTCAGTTAAATCTCTTCCTTAGTTTGTTTTTTTAGTGGGTTTGCAATGATGTTGATTTACTTTGTTTCCTGGGGCTTTCTCACTGTTACGAGGAAAGGGCAAAACTCTAAGTATTGTTTCAGATGGGGGCATGGAAGTAGCTGTGTTCTTTTTAGAACCCTAGGGTAACGACCACCTCTCTCTTCAGATTGCAGATCTGGCCAGGCTACACAGCTAGCATCCGGAGGACAGATGGAGGTCTTTTCCTGCTAGCAGATGTCTCCCATAAGGTCATTCGGAATGATTCCGTGCTGGATGTCATGTGAGTGGATGGTGGGACCCGCCTTTAACATGCTGATGATTTTCTGAAAAGTTCAATAACAGCTGGTAATAATACAGTGAGACATTGTTCTGTTTGGATTTTTAACTGTAAAATAGATTGAGAGAGAACTAAATGGATATACCCTTCTCTCTAAGTCCTTCTGAATAGACATCTGAATAGACATCTGCTGTGCTTTGAGGAGGAGTTTTATTTAAATTTGTGGTTAAGAAGACATGGTTTGATATATGCACATC